GTATTTCTCAGATATCATGAATTCTGTAGCTTTTCAGGATGTCATTTACTGGGGCAGTTTGATTTATTATACATGTAATAGAGGGAAGGGAATTTGGACTGCATATGATCTGGAGACATTTCTGGATTTCATAATAAAATCAAACTTAACCAATTGTGTTTATGGGTATGTTTATCAAATCAGGTATTTCTCATGTTGAGAAAGACTGACTCTATAAGAGTGTACAAAGACTGTTGGGGACATCTTTTTAATTGCCCCTTTTTTTCCTGTCCCTCTGCATTGCTTTTGGGAAAGTGTTTCCCCCAAGTGCAGTCAGTTCTTTCTAGTTTTAGGCTGTGTTTTCATGAGTACTGTTGAAAGCAGCATTACCTCTGCTAAAATCGTGATCACCTACTGAATCTTTGGAGCCAAACCAATTGTTCTGACTACAAATACTTCTTTTCCTTAACTAGTGTTCTGTCTTTCTGTGTTAGCTATTTCAGGCTCTTTTCACTAAAGCCAAATGTACATGTATTTTTCCTCCTGCATATGAAGTAATTTTGAATGTAACCTTGAGATTGCAGCCCAAAATTGGGTCTACAGTTGTTTCTCTCAGTTTTCTTACCTCTCTATGCCTTCCTTCCTCCAAGCTGTCCATGTGAACAGTTGCACAGTGTCTTGTGACCAAGGTAGTAAGTTTCCTGTATAAAATTTAAATTTACTGTATTGGTATTATATTGAGAACTTGGAGAATGTCTGTTTTGCATGCTTTTCTGTTTATAGGTAACAAACTACCAGTTTTCCCCATTTTAGGTCCTTCTGAAGACTTTAGTTATTTATTCCTTTGGATCAGTTTCGTGGAGTTTTATGGATGGAGAGAGGTTGGATCTGTAATAGGATTTGCAAGACAGTTTATGTGTTTACAAATCACAGAGCTCATGTAAAGGCTCTCTTAATAAAATACCTTAACTTGATTTAAAGTACTTGGTTTGATGCTGTGTTTTTACTTTGTTGTTGGAATTTGTGCTTTACTACTCTATTTCCAAAGTAATAGGCTCCTGTAGCTAAAGAACCATAAATCAGTAGTCTTGTGATGTAACTCCCATCTTTTTTTAAAATAGGGATTCAGTCCTCTGTCAAGATACATGCTGTGTTGTTTATTAATCCTAATTGATTTTCATAGGTTTTAATTCTAAAGACAGGAAAAATCCCTCTTTACAATTTAGAGATTGATGGAGAATGGGAATAAATGTTTAGTTAGTTTTTCACATGGTATTTACTGTGATTCTTTTCTTGCACTGGGCAGTCAGTACAAGGTACTCGCAGGCAAATTCTCAGTTAAACAGGTTACAGGCTTACAGAAAAATTTTCGTAAAACAGTTGGAATTTGGTGCTTTCTTATGTAAGTTGTATCATCAGTGACCTCATTTCTCTTGAATTTTTTTTTTTTTTCCTAACAAAGAGCATTTTAAATTCTTTTTATTGAACATATGCATCGCAAATGTCAATAGGAAAAAGGTTTTCATATAAAATATACCATCTTCATTTACAGTCTAGAAACTTAGTGAATTTTTTTTTTTTCAGTATCAATATATATGTTTAATTGCTTAGCTAGAGTTTATTAGCTCTTCTTAAGGCTTACCTAGAAGTGTTAGTTACTGCTTTAGGCTGTTACTGTTCTTTTCATTGAAACATAATGTTAGGTTTTTATGTTATCATCCGCATATAACATAGTAGAAATTTTAAAACATTCAGCCACTTCCATATAATTTGTGATGCTTGTAGAATTAAAATACGGAATCCACCAGGGACTTGCTCAGTCCTGGTGTTAGCGTGATTCAAATGGACGTAGCATTTACAACAATGCAAAGCAGCAGCAACAGTGGATTTCTGTTCCAGGCCTAACATCTACAGAAAAGAAATTTATTTCTACACTTGAGATTTACCTTGACCAATGTGTCAAAAACCTGAATATTTCTGTCTAATTTTGGCTGAAGATAATCAAGGGAAGACTTATGTTAATAAAAATAAAGATTTACGAATTTCAAAGATTTTGATGATATTTTTAGGCGTATTTTCTTCTCCTTCCCTCCTCTTCCCCCAGCAAGTAAGGCTTGTTTTCCTCAATTTTACATTGCTGAAGAATTAAAGAACAGTCACGCTTTTGTTTTAACACATGGAAAATTTTACTTTAAATTTGCAAATAAACTATTTTTACTGTATGTTATTCTATTATTGTATAACATATATAAAAATTAATCAGTAGCACAGCACAGTAGTTTGGAAATTTAAATACTTTACAAGTAATGCAGAGACTCAGAATATTAAGTTGAAAGCCAGTGGTGCCTCTTCTAGTATGAATATGTTCAACGCTATTCATATCTTCCTTATTTGCAGATTGTTCAACTGTACACTGGTGTACAACTTTTCTATTCAGATATGTTTTTTCTTTATTTTTTCCTTTCTTCTATCTTTAATCCTTCTGTCTTAATTTCTATATTTATTACTGAGGTAATCTTTAGATATTTATTACTAAGATCATCTGTATCTCTTTCTTTTTAGTTCTGTCTGGTTTTGCTTTTGTTGGTTTACTTTTCCCAGTGCTGTTTCTCTACCTCCCCTTCCCTTTCATAATTTAATTTCCTAGTCTCCTCTGTATCTATTACTATTCTCTGTCACTTTTTCTCTTCCCAGCAGGGTCTGTGTCGAATGCTCCTCATCTGGGGGCCTCACGGGGCTGTACTAGCCGAGTTATAGCTCAGGTGGTTTGAAATTAGCAAGATTCTGTGCTTCAAATTCCTCTGTAAAATTAAAGCTACAGCACAGAGTCTTGTAAGTATGAAAATACTTTAATTCTAATATTTCAAACTGTCTGTCAACAATAGACTGAATGTATCCCTTTTGTTATTAATAAAGGAGGGTGTATAAATTCAGTAACTTGAGCAAGAACATTGTAAAACCCGAGGCTCTAATGGCAGCCCTGAAATCTGCTCCAGAGCTGTTTCAGAAGTTGACCGAGTAGTTTTTTATTTGTCACGTTGTCTTCAGTAGCTTAGTAGTTTAGTTCTACACTGAAGAAACAGAAGAGGATCTGAAAGAAGTCTCCTTTGTCGCAGTCTATTCCCGAATACCAGTTCCATGTTTTGTAGAAACACTCTTCAATGGGAATGCTAAAACCACAGTGCAGAGCTTTTGGGAGGACATAGTCTTTGAGACACAAGAATGGGCAGCTGAAGTTAGGGTGAGGGTCCATCTTGTTCAGTTTTCCATCTTGGATGATGACCAGTATTAGATATTTAGGGGAAATTAAAGTCTAACAGGTCAGTTACAATGTCATCTTTTTGCCAGTGTGTCCTTTTTACCAGTATGTAGCTTATAGCAAATAAGTGATTAAGGAACATTTGGATGAGTGGAGTAAGACCAGCATTATCAGTCCTCTGCAGCTTGTGTGTGATACCTGTATATATATGTACCCAGGCACAGGCGTAAAGGTGGCTCTGTGGATTGGAAAGCGAAAACTGCCAGTAACTTCCTGAAACACACTTTTCCTGTAAACTGATGGATACAATGCAGTAATGAAAAATTATGGTTAAAATAAAATGAGTAACAATAAATTGTAAGCTCAAGAAATTCCTAGCTTTCAGCTCCTGACAGCCATCTAATTAAGGAGGTCCAGAGTGCCGATTACCTGGTGCCAAGCTCAGCCTTCCTTAAGAGGCTGTTTAAAATCTTTCTAATATTTGAACTTTAAAATTAATAGGTTGTTTGGTTGTTTTTTTTTTTTTTAATTCGTCATGACAGGTGACTGTGGATTGAATTACAGTCTCGATAGACTTGATTATTCATCACTGTTTTGCTTTAACAGTGTTTTACAACTTCCAATTTTTGTTGTTTTAAAAGTATGCTCATTATTGTAGTGCCTTCACAAGAGCATTATTTTTTTAAGTTGCAGTAACATCAGACTTGAAAAGGAGCAGGAATTGACACGTTTTCTGAGACAGTCTAAAAATTCTAACAATTTTTTAATTTCTATTAACTTCTTGCTTATTTTGATTTCTAAGATAAATTTATTAATTTAAATCAGTTTTAAGTAAGTAATTGTTAGAAATTTTTAGATATCTTATTTCTGTCATGTGAGTTAGTTTATCTTAGAAATGCTTCTAGGTGGGTGCCTGAATAGTGAAAAGTAGGCATGCTTGGTTATTTGGAGTCTATGTTGTATTTGTCGGACCCTCCTACGTGTTTCGTAAAATCACTTGGGTGTTTGGCTTGATCTCTCAAATTTCGCATCCCACAGGGACCAGGATTCATTAATCACACATAGGATCTTTGGGGTAGGAGAGGCTACCATTGCAGAACCAAACTTAGAGAAAATGAGGAGAATGGCTGGTACGGAGGCCTGACTGCCTCTTAGGAAACCTATTTTCAGGAGCAACCTCTGGGATCTTTCTCAGGTTAGTGGAGGATAGGAATTTGACAAAGACAGTGTTCTCTGACTCTCCTGGGAGACTAGTGCATGCTGCACTTAATGCTCTTCCAAAAAGGGGTTGCAGATGCAGATATGTGATGTGGGTGGGACTTAGCGTTTTAAAATTGTATCCTATGAGAAAACTGTGATTTTAAACTCTTTGCACTTCTGGATCAGCTCTTTCTGCTGTTTACCTTTCTTCACTTTTTCTTAGGTGGGAAGGGACAGTGAGGGACAGCTGATCCTCTAAGACTGGGGACCTTCCTGTGGCAAAAAAAACAATAAAAATGTGAGTCCACCAAAAAGCTATAAGGACTATCTACAGAAATTTTAAGCTTTGGGTGATAGCTTCTTCTACACTGAAACTGCCTCACATGGGAATTTTCTGTCTTGCTTTTCTTCATTTTTTCCCCTTTTGTTTGTTTTTAGATGGCCAATTCATTTATTTTTCCCTGTCTCTTCCCCTGTCTTGCTCAGCATTACAGCTGCAACATTTTTTGATCATTTTAAGCTTTAAGCTCTTTCTTGTTCTTTTTTGTTTTTTCCAGTTATTGGTCTTGATGATATTATGGATGAAGAAGGAGTTAAAGAGAGTGGTAATGACACCATTGATGAAGATGAGCTTGTTTTACCTAACAGGAATTTGAGGAGCCGTTGTGAAGAAACATCAGTCACATCACCAAGAAAATCACCACGTTTAATGGCACAAGGTGATCATTCAAGAAATTATGTGGTTTTGCACATCTGAAGTCAACTGAATTTTTATAATCCCACACCCCCAACATCTATAAACTTAAAGTAAAGCGTTGCTATTTGGTTGTGTGAATTAAAGTACAGACGCTTCCTTTTTTGTAAACTGGAGCTAGAAGTTGGCATCCATAGGGTATTACTCAGTTTGAATTTCTCTTTGTTAAATATTTCATGTCTTCCTTACAGTCCCTAAACCAATTCTTGAGAATTTGAGAATCCTTTTACCTGCATCAGATTAGCACTGTGGTTCTTCACCAACAAAAGCATGTTGTATTTGCAAACAGCATTGTAATATTAGGTTAGCATGGCTCTTTATTTCCAACTAAAATTTTAATTCTATTTATTTTTATTTGTGTATTTTCTTTTTATTTTGAATTAGGCTATAGTAATTGTAGTCATGAAGTCTTTCATCAAAATATCTCAATCTTAATAAGTATTTTAATCAAATACTTAAATTCTGTGTGGTAGCTAATTGATTATGGTTAGGGTTTTTCTAACTTGTTGAACTGGTGGAGTTATTGACAGCTCTGCTTTTTCCACCTATACAGTAGGCTGAGTTAAAAAGATAAAATTTTTTAATAGGGAAGTCAGAATTTAAATAACAGCCTGTTATTTATAATTTTTATACATATGTTATTTATATTTATATATATAACAAAGCTGATGAATATGCTTTTTAAAAAGGCACTGGAATGGTTGCTTGTTTAGAAAATGTAAGAGATGTCATTAAGTGAGAATGTGACTGCATCTCAGATCCATATACTGTGTCCTGTAAAAGCTTTGTAAACTTCACAGCTATACTTCTAATCACTGTATAACTTGTGCAATTTTTACTTGAGGTTGAAAAAGTTGAATGGTAGAAAAGTAGAGTGGATTTTAATTGTCTTTTTATCATCACTTCTGTTTTATATATACTATTCAGAACTTTCATAGCCATTAGAATAATGAGATTTTACATCTAAACTGTGGCAGTGCAGAAATGCAAGTAATTTATAATTTTTTAAAGTAGAGAGTTGTGGTTTTTTTGTTGTTGTTGTTTTTGTTTGTTTTGTTTTTGTTTTGTTTTTTCTTTTTGTTTTGTTTTGGTTTTTTTTTTTGTTGTGTGGTGTTTTGTTTTGTTTTGTTTTTAAGTTTAGTAAACAACTAAGTTTTAAGTTCTCTCTGTGCCCAGTAAGCTAAGTCAGGCTAAATCAGTTTTATTCTAGGTAAGTCTTGTGTTTGCAAAGAGGAGGACGCAGTATACCTAAGACATTTTCTTTTTCCCTTCCTAGAAACAGTACGGAGTTTGCGACAGAGCACGCTAGCCAAGCGTTCGAATGTTGCACCTCTTGCTAGTACCAAGAAATCATCTGTAAAAAGTGTATCTGCTCCAAAAACCGGACAGAAACAAGAGAGAAGTCCAGCTAAAGAGGCAGATGTCACTGCACCCTTGAAAATAGAACAGCCTAAAGAAGTTAGGCGTAGTACAAGACGATCAGGACAGACAGAAGGAACAGCAGCAGCAGTAGTAACAGCATCCCAAAGTAATACAAAATGTCTTCCTGGTCCCAAAGAGGTGAATGAAATAAAGTCTGAAACCCCTGAGCAGGCAAAAGTTGAGGAAACATCCCAAGAGTTAAGTTGTGCTAATTTAGCAAGAGGCTGTTCTCCTTCCTCTGGAGAAACAAAGAAAATAACAGAGGTTGCAACAAAGACTGAATCTGGGAATGTTGAGTCAGTTTGTTCAGTATCTGCAGATACTGAAATTACTGCAGTTAAAAGTGAAGCAAATGATGTGATTGATTCAATGGGCTCTGAAACTTCTTCAGAAGAAAAGACTGAAAATAAAACAGAGGAATTGGAGAAGAAAACAGAAGAGCATGATCAAAGTGGGGTGACTGGAAAAGCTAATGATCCATCTAGTGTTTGCGTGAATCCAAGTGAAATTTGTGAGACCTTTTCAAATTTGTCCAGCTCCGTGGAAGAAGGGGTTGATTGTAGTTTAGGTTCCCACAGTGTGGAAGTTCCTGATGAAAATACATTGTCAGTAAAGGAATGTGTAACAGAACCTGTAGATGATGACAAGGGAGTGGAGAAAACTGTAACTTCATCTGAGAAACTGTTGGACAGTACAGAGTTTGATAATAAAGACTTGAAAAGTGAAGAGTTTGCTTCTGCTGACCCAGGAAATAGCATTTTAGATAGCACTGTTCTTGACCAAGTAAGCCAAAATGTACAGCAGCAGATCAGCAGTACTAAAGTAGAAGGCCCTGAGGCATCAAAATTTCAGGATGATGATAAACAAATTACCATTTCATCAAAATGTGAAAAGAATGTTAGGCCCCGGCATAGTAAATCTGTAATACAGAATAAGCAAAATCTGACTGCAGGTACTCCGCAGAAATCAGGTACAGTGCAACAAGAAATAACGCGTTCAAGAACAAGAGCTGGTCTTAGTGTTTCAGGTCTTCACAGTCTATCTTCAGCAAGTCTGAAGCGGAATGCAGATGAGCAAGAGAGTCATCAGCATCCAAATAACCCAGTTAAAATTAGGAAGAAACAATCTGATCTGGGTTTGAAAGCAAAGAGCTGTGTTTCAGGGGTGACCATAAAAAAGCAGACCAATACAATGCTGAAGAAAATACCCCGAGTCCAGGCTTCTGTGCAAGTACAGAAGTCATCAATTCAAAAAGCAAGTGAGAAATCTCCTACTCATCAAAGCTGTTCTAAAGACACCCACCACTCCGTGCATCCATTATCAGGGTATGTTTCAAATCTTGGTCAGAAGCAAGCCCAGGGTCAGAAACACCAGCTTGCAACGGTGCTAAAACCAAATAGCTCCACAAAGGAAGAGGCAGAGACAAAAGATTCCCCTGTTGTAGAACATCTAAAGGAGGATGATAAAGAAAAAAACAAATCAAAAAGAATTGATAAGAATCTCCAACCTCGCCAGAGAAGAAGTAGCAAAAGTCTTTCACTTGATGAACCTCCGTTGTTCATTCCAGATAACATTTCAACTGTTAAACGGGAAGGCGTGGAACATACCTCTGCTAGTGAAAGCAAATATGTTTGGGTGCCCAACAAGCAGTGTGGCTTTTGCAAAAAGCCACATGGCAACAGGTGTGTGTGACTTTGTGTCTGAGGAATTTATTATTGGTCTCAGAAGAGAATTTTTTTTCCTCTCTTACCAAAATGTTTCATACTGCTGGTGCCAAAACAAAAAGTCATAGCCTTATAGTGGAAGCCTGTCTGTTACACTGTCAATTAGTTTCCTTTGCACTCATACACTTTTTTTTTTGTCTTTGAAGCAGAGCATTAGAAACTAGTTTGGCCAAAAATTTTTACTAGAAATGTTTTATTATATGAATACATTTTTTGAGGAATGTGTAATTCTGCTATGCTGTTAAAATATGTACTTTAAAATTGACTTTTTTTCCTTAGAAAAGAAATAATACTAAAATGTCTGTGTTCCAGATTGTCATTTCCTTCTTTCCAGAGACCCCTTAAGTTGAAGGATCACTATCAACCAAAAAAAATCAAATAGTTGTTTGCATGTGACTTTTATCTGGTAGAAGTATGATTCTAATACCTGGAGATTCAGAGGTTTTTTTCAATTTGTATAATCGCTGCTGTGAGGCTTTCATGTAAAAGGAGTAATGAAGTAGTTGGGGGCGGGGGAGGAAAAAAAACCCTATAAAACTTCCATGTAGGCATATCTGAAATTGCCTTTGACTAAACCTAATAATGAGGTTGCATCTGAAGTTGATAATGTCCCTCTGTGACAAAAGTTATTCTTCTACACTATAAATGAACTGAAAAGGCCATTGGGTGTCACTAATGAACTATGAATCCAAGAATAAGAATTCCTTTATTACCACTTCTTATTTTCTGGATTTAATGTTGAAGTATTTTTTCATAGTTGCAGTTTTACCTGCCAGCCTTTCTTTTTTTTTTTTAATTAATTTCAAATTGAAGGTGTTTCCGATTAGTTCTTTGCTTATGCAAGAGAAATTTTTAATTGTAATTTTCAGTGAGTGTGCTTTAGAACTCCGTATATCAGAGTGAAATATGGAACAATAACCTTTGGTGTGTGAAGTTTTCATAGCATTCATTTGTATCTAAGAAGAGCCCTTGTGAGTTTTATTGACTTAATATATCATATTTGAAAAACAAATACATAAAATTAATTTACTATGCAGCTATAGTAACTGTATTAGTGTAGCCTATTAAAAAGAATTAACGCTAGGTTTGCTCTGCCTGTTTGGTGAGAATTAGCTGATTGAAGGGGCACTCAAACTTAGTTCTGTGTAGTTTTGTTTTGGGGTTTTTGGAGGGTTTTTTGTTTTGTTTTTTTTTTTTTTTTAATCCTTTTATTTTTAGGACTGTACCTTTACCATTTGTGCCTTTATAATACTGTTTAATTTTATGCAGTTTGCATTTCCTTAGTTTTTATCATCTCTCATGTTACCACAATAGTACATGGGTAGCCTGTAGTTCAATGAATTGTTTAAATTCAGAAAGGCTGCTTCATGATATGAAAATGCTTATGTGGATATTTTTAAAGCAGTACGCATGTTGGGGGTTTAAACTGCTTGATATCTGTTAAAAATTCAGCTTTGAATTGAACTCTTCCTGTTTTCTTTGTGTTTTTGCTAACATTTTAAACATTCTATGGGTTTTCTTGTTCTGAACGTCTTGTTTTTTTAATACTAAATGGATCTAACTAATACTGGGAAGATACAGCAGTGAGGCAGAACTAAATCTGCTTATTTTAGTTTATAAAGTCGAAGTAATGCTACAGAAGATACACATATACTATGCATTGATATAGGATTAAATGCAACAAACCAATTTTGCCTCGCCAGCTCTTACTGCTGCTAGAAGAATAGTATAATGTATGGATCACAAGCTGAGATCGGATTGAGAGAGCCCGTGAGTTGCCACAGATGGTGATTATGGGTATCCTCAACTTTGTAATGTCAGTCTCGTTAAGATTTTTTTTTTTTTTTTTTTAATATTTAGAATAGAGCAAAAATAGTTATCCTTCTGTGTTACAAAACTGTTGACACAGCCAGCAGTTTCGGTGGAAAAGATCAGATTCATTAAATGTAGAAAGATATTTAGTACATAAACACAGAATTTTTGTATATAGAAAGTGACTGAGACACACTAGTGGAGTGAGGAAGCTTGCAGTATTGAGCCCCGTGCTTAATAATAGAAGACTTAAGACTATCAGTCCAGTTCTTTTTATCATCACTATTCTAAAAAATGAAGTTTTAATTTGTTCAAATTACTTTTATTTTGTAGTTGTATGCTACAAATAAAAACTCTTAAACCTTTCAGATTCACTTGATGTCATTAAGATACAAGAGGAAGCAAAACTTATATCTTGAGTGCCTTGGCATTTTTGTACTTGTTTAATTATTGGTGCAAGAACAAGAAAACATTTTCAGTGCAATGCGAAAGAGAAAAAAAAGCTTAACATGATAAATTTCACTTTCATCACTTGGAAAAACATCAAAACTATTGAAATTTACTATAGTGATAAGGTTATTTTCATTCACTTTGTGAATTGCTTTTCAAGGAATTTTTGTTTCCCTTTTGTAATAGCCTAGCTGGCCAGCCTGTTTACTTCCCCCCCCCTCCCCCCCGTTCATTTATAGGAGAAAAGGAGAAAATGTGAGAGACAAATATTGTCAAATGACAGTAAGTTCAACAAATGTCAAAGGCAGAGCTAAGATCTGAAACAATATTTGTGTTTATATCCTGCTCTATGGTTATTTAAACTTTGGAAATTTTTATCAATGTTGCGGTACAAATTGTAAAAAAAGAAGTTGAACTGAAGTTGCAGCCCCAAGTTGGGAAATAATGGGTGTAAGAGCTTTGCAGTATGTCATGTTAATGAAACACATTTAGAATTCAGGCTGCAAAATAGTAGTCACTTGAACCTTTTTGTATTCCCTACAATAAATGCAAAGCCACTAACTTGTTGATAATGTAGTACTAAGCTTGGAAAATTGATTCAGGTCAAAGAAACGTATGGAGATCGTTTCATCAGCCTTGTTTGTGTACAGAATCCCCAAAGAGGGGTGCTTACGTAGGCCTCTCACACCCCCAGAGTAACCTTGTTGTGCCTGCTAGAAAAACAGTAGAAGGAGGATGGTACTTGTATGTTGTTTTATTTCAGAATCAGCACCTGACAAGTGGATTCAATTTATGTCTTTAGGAATACATGCAATAATTTGCTGATCACATGCAAAGTCAAAGTATGCTTACCTTGCACTGCAGATACAATGCACTTGGCTGGAAAAGGAGGAATCCTTTTTTATAAATATATGACTTGCATGATCAAAAAAGTTTACAAGTTATAACGTGTCTTGCTTTATAAGAGGCATGTCTGTTTTTTTCTGTTAATAGATCATCATTCTTTGGCACCTGAGCTTTGAACAGGGACTATTCATGATCTGTTTTCCACTTGTCTTGATGCTTATAAGCTGAAACCAACATAGCTGTTTCATATTTTGTATCTTCCTTAGCCAAAGACGGGGTGGTCAATGTTTGGCTTTAGGACTGATTGTTTCAGTCTGTTTGCTTGATGTGTTGTTTTGATTCCCATTCAGGGATTTACCTTTGCAACATAACTAAAAAATAATTGTTCTTTCATATGAAAACTAAACCCTATGCTTCTGGGCAAGTCAGATAATTACGATGTAACTTTTTGTACTTTGTAATTTTCAGCACATAAACAGTCTGAATTATTGTTGTTACTCGTTAAGTATTGCTTTCAACTTGTTTAACTTTGCCATTGTGTTTCCATATTGCTGTCAGGTGTTTTCTCATCAGCTAATAACATAAATCATACACAAATCTTCATTCCTCTATCTATAGATGAAATGTGTGTATGTGTATGGATATGCATATCACATAGAAAAATGTTACAGACTGAAGTTACTACCTCAACTTCTTAATGAGTTCAAGTGATGTTGAAAATACTAAGCTTTGTCACAAACAGTTATTTTTCCTGAAGACAGGTTGAAGATTTTTAAAGATAGTTCAAGAAAAAAAAAAATATTTAATTTCTTGGCATAGAGCTAGATGAAGATGGTAGCTGTGCAAACATTGAGAAATCTGCTAATGTAAGATTTCTTCTATGCATCGTATGCAGCCTTCTAATGTAAGGTCTCATATTATAAATTTCTCCAGTTTTCACTGTAGATGTTCAAGTTCTGTGAAGGCTGGAGGGCTGAACTCACTCCTTCCTTGTACGGATAGACAAAACCTAACTGATGTTTTGCAGATTGTCTCCCTTGTCTTCACTCTGTCTTCTTTACTGGAAGAAGTTCCACCAATTTCTGATTAATAATTGATAGTACATAACTTGAAATACTGTTTCTAAGCAAATTTTCTAGAAAGCATTATATCACGAGGGAATTTTGTAGCTTTAATTTATTGCTGGTGACTTCCTCTTTTGATTTCTACAATTCTAGTAAGGTTTTTTTAATAGGCTGTGGGAGTTTGGGCGTTCTCTTTTGTAGTTTTTGTGGGTTTTTTTTCTGGGTGTTGTTGTTGTTGCTTGGGATTTGATCATGCAGTTTGTGTGGTCAGACACAAACTGGTTGTCTCAGAGCTCACAGAAAAATTAAGTGATGCAGGAGCAGAGTTTTACTTAGGGTCTTCTTTTTTCCCCATGTGTCAACTCTGCTTTAATATAGAGGAAAAGTTAGTAATATTGTAAAAGGTAATTAATTGGAAAGTGAAGGAGTTGATTTAGCAAAAATACAGTGTTCCTGATTTCTTGCATACACGTAGTCACTAAAAAGACTCCGCAGAACTGTAATACGGAAAATTACTTTGACTTATGGATGAAATTTAAAAAAAATCTGAAAACTCTTTTTTCCTGTAGCAAAGATTATTAGGACATTTATTTTTTGAAAATAGTGCTGATACTTCAGTAAACTATTTTGGAACCAGGTGATCGTATAATTTGTACAGCCAATACAATAGAGCATGGTTGAGGAAGGAGATTAAGGCTCTGAACTTAAAAGCACCCTTAAGCTACATGTGCATATTTTTTTAAGGGTGCATATACAGCAAGTGAATCGTTATTGTGACAATATTCT